GAAAGAAAGAAAGAAAGAAAGAAAGAAAGAAAGAAAGAAAGAAAGAAAGAAAGAAAGAAAGAAAGAAAGCTGGGACAGGCAAAAGAATAAATATTAAATTAATGCTATGCAGTAAAGACAGTAAAAGGGGCACAAAACAGGACTAATACAGAGATGAATACAAATGAAGGTTCGCTGTCCATTCCAGACATATGAAGTTTTGCATTATTTAAATGCAAGGAAGAACAAAGCCCTAAAAATCCTTAAGGAAGTTCTTTTCCATTATATTTTTGACTGTAATATCATAAAGCAGTTCTTTCTTCTTAAATAGTTATTATTAAAATTGGAAGGCTATCTATTTCCTATTCATAATGAATCCCAAAGAAAAACAGCTGACAACAAGATAGGACAGTAAGGGACATTTACTTTAATCCCAGTGTAAAATCTAATAGCAGAGTGACCATGTTAAAACAAAGAATCTTCCCTCCCTCAATCTGAATGTACGTTTAAACAGATACTTTCACTATAGGTTATCCATACCTCACAGACTTTACAATGCCACCTTGTCTCCACATGGTGTTTGCACTCATTGCATGTATAAACAAAACGATCCTGGCTTTGGGTGTGCAGCTCTACCAGCATGCACATAGTTGACCACATTGCTCTTCGTAGTGAAGAAAACTCAAGATGTTTGTCTCTTGCAAGAGTGAGGAAGGCATCTCGTCCATCCATTAAATCACATGGAATTAGTGGATCAGGTTCAATAATGGGAGGCAGGGAGTTGGCCTGCGGACCAGCAATGAGACGAATCACAAAGAATACCTGAAAGAAAGAAAGAAAGAAAGAAAAGAATAGCCCATTTAAATTGTATCCTGTGAGGGTCTTGATATCATACTTAGTTATTTAGACAAATTTAAATTCAATTCTAAATGGACACAGCTATATACTTTGCTACATAATACTGTCAATCCCAGTTTAAAAAAGGCTTTAAAAAGTCAGCAGGCTGTAGCAATCAGAAACAGACCTTAAAATACTTTGTTTTGTTGAAATTTTATTGGAGCAAGTCTATGTAGTATTGTCTGATCACACAAATGGGAGCAACTCCTCACACACTAACAGATTGCTGAAATGTAGCCTATTAATTTATCATGGGTTCTAGCCACAACCAATGGCTTAAAAAGTACAAGTGACTTGTTTCATTTTACAAGTTGGCTGAAATGTTAGAATACCCAGTTACACTATTCTGACTGTGGTAAGGAATGTGTCTAACATATCACCACATATCTGTTTTAAATTGATTTATCAGAACAAATAAAATCCACAATCACTCATATTCCTGAGACTCTAGATAATGAAAACCACACCCCTATCTGATTATAATTTTATAATCTTCTCTACTGTCTTTCCTTATCCACTCCTTTCTTTTATCTTGTGTGTTAAGTAAGAAGGTAAACCTGTGAGCATGTTCTCTATTCTTCACATTACACAATGCCTTAGAATTCAGCAAGTATGTTCAACTTTTCAAGTTATGAAACAGTCCTCAAAGGAATCAGATTTTTTTTTGAGAACTTACTTAAACGAAAGAGAAAAATGTGCAACTGGTTATTTCTAGAATGTCTTCCTTCAACAGATCTCTGCCTGGAGTCTCAGCTCACTGGATTAAATTAGCAATGGTTCTAAACTTGTGTGGCAAATCAGAAGAGATTCTTTGCTGAACATGCACTCTCTACACACACCACAGCAGAAATACTCTTCTGCTTTCTCTGTCCATAGTTTGAGGACTCATTTCATTGTTGCTCATCCACCCTTGCCAATGTTGGAGCTACATTTATTTCAGATTTGTAACCTTTTGCTTGCTCCTGAAAATACCACTAAAACGTTTTATCTTTGTCCTTACTTCCTTGTGCTTCTCCATAGTGGCATACAGTTTCTGGGAAAGATCATTGGAGACATTGGGCATTCCAGGTTTCTTTTTATTACCACGACTCAAGCTGCTTTTATTCTTACTGGTCTTCTTGTTATTCTTCTTTTTGGCATTTTTGCTATCTCCTTTGCTGACCTGAAAAGGAATTAAAAACTTAAATTTGAAAATGGCAAAGTACATCCTCTGTTTAAGAACTTATGTTGCCTTGAATAGGAATACTAGCAAGAAGCAGTGGCAAAACATTTGTTAGGCCACCTATTCCAAAGCTGAGGAAAAGATGTCACACGGAACTGAACAAGGCTTACAGAACTATGCAAGACTTGCTCCTGTCCTCAAGAGGAACAAATGCTGTGACAGCAGAACACCCTTTATTGAACAGGACATTCTTGTGTACATCAGTTACTATGGAAGAGAACTAGGGGAGAACTGATACTCTGTTTGTAGACTTCCTGAAAGTAACTGGCCGGTCACTGTGGGAATATAATGTTGGACTAAGTAGGCCTTCAGCTGATCCAGCCTGGCTTTTTAAATGTCCTTATGGTCCCTGGTCCTCCTCTCCTCTTTATCAAACGATCTACAAGTATATAATAATTTTAGAAAGATTAACATTTTGTTTTGATAAATTTAAATCTACAGCTGCAGATTTCACAAATCTGAAGAACAACAGTTCTGGGGTACAAACAATTTCCTTACATCAGTGCTCTCATTGCTAGTGTTCTCTTCTCTCTTTCGCTCCTCTTCCTCTTGTTCTAGCTCCTTAATGCTCTCTTCCAGAACATTTGGCCAGAAGTCCCCTTCAAAGTAAGGCAGCTCTTTTGCACTGGTAAGACGATCTTCTGTCGCCTGCTTAAAAATATCCTGCAACACAAAATGTTTGTCAGCACACATCACCTTGAAGATAGCACCAGGAGCAGAAAACTACTCAAGCACACATACAAAAAGCCAGCTTGGGTTCAATATCTTTAGCAAGTATAGGTAGCTGGGCTGGCAAACCTCCCCTGCTGTTTGAAGAACAACAGGAGGAAAGCTGTTGCACTGGGCCTGAGAAGACTTATGCAGAATTAAACTTTGCTTGTATGATTAACAGGGGAAAAGGACAAGACTTAAAATGACACTTTGTCCTGACTCTGCCGTATGATTTTAGACAGATCCAATTCAAGACCTTCTCCAAATGCAAATCTGGCCCCAAATCTTAAAAGGAAGCCCTACTCCCAGTTTGCAGTCTTTTGAAAGATGCTTCATATGATCCAAATGGTTTAAGCATTATTAAGATACTGGATATTGTTCCCAAACACTAATTTGAACTATGTTTTTACATTTTGAGCAGATAAACTCCAGGATAAATAGTAGTTTAAAAAAGTGACACTACATTTATTTTACAACCAACCTTGTAATCATGAACTATTCGCTCTGACACAGATTTATCCAGCATCTTTTTGTACCACTCTTGCAGTCGTTTGGGTTTTGGTATCTTTTGATCAGGAGGATGACAGTGAAAAATATAATCATCTCCTTCACTAGGTGGGCAAGCCCAGATATGTCCAGTTGTATACCTAATAGTATTTAAAGGAAAAAACCCACAATAATTATTTCCATTATTATGAATGTTATTTCAGTGAATTCTTACTTTACTCATACAACTTTTCAGAAGCAAGATTTTTTTTTGCCACACTACTGACAAAAGAATAGAATTATTTTTATATATCAATTTCAGTTTTATATATCACTTTCAAGTCTCCTACATAATAAAGGGAATCACACTGCATTCTACAGATGTAACAAGCAGATCAACCTTCAAATTTTTCGTCTCCACTACTGGCATAACAGTCAACATTTACATTCAAAATACAAGATACATCTCAATGGTAAAGTGTATTCAATCAGTTTCGACATGACAGAGATTATAAAATGATAGGACGCTTACCCCAATTTCTTGACATACTCTAGGTAACCTATCAGTATTTCATGATATACAGCAGTCCTTAAGCATTTAGGGCGGAAGAAATGAACACTGTCAAGGTACGATATGTATACTCGCCTACATAAAAAACAGAGAAAGTTTGTAAGTCCCAGCCCTAACCATTTTGCTTAAGTACCTCCCCATTTTATCTTTCATCATTCAAGCATCCAAGCAAATGCCATTTGTTTATATTAAGGTGTGATTAGGATATAAGGACTTTGCCTTCCCTCACATTTCTTACATTCCTCCTTTGCAGTTATCTCTATTACTGTACATGGGTTTTCTTTTTCTTTTTCCATGCTAATATTTGACACATTATGCAGCACGGCCATCTTTGGAAGACACAAGGTCAAACCATCTTCATTCTTACAAGAATGAACCTTCAAGATGTTGTATATATGCACACCATGATTCCTTTCCTGATTTGCAGGACAGGCACTGCTTGTAATCTTGATAATTCTGGCAAATTATTGCTTGCATTGAACCTCACCTACAATTAAACAGTGGTTTCCAATTGTAGCCTGCAGGTCAAGTACAAACCAAAGTTTCTAAGCTTGGACAGGACAGCAAACTACTGTTCAAAACAAGAAGGGAATTGTTATTTGCAGGAGGAAGGGGGGGGGGGAAGAAGGCATTATTGGAGTCCGATGTCTTCTGAAAATTTGTCCGTCTACTGCTAATCCATAGCTAAATGACCTTGCAGAACATAAGAGGTCCCTCCAGCATCCAATACTCCACTTCCATATGTCATAAGGGTGCCCATTATTACAACAAGAGCTCATATTGGCTTGATAACATTATAGAATTTGAACTCTATTGCAATTCACACAATGTAGTACAATTTAACACAGTAAGCAAAAATATATATATATATATAAGCACCACTTTTAAAAAATACTAACATCTCTACTGAAGTCCCTTGGTACTTAGTTTGCAAGCAGGCATCTGAAGAATTGCAGGGAGTAACTCCATGCCCACAATTTTTTACTTTAACTTGCAATGCCAGCTAGATGCAGTAGATTCATGTGGATAAGTACTATGACAAGAGGGAAGCCTGTGCAAATTACAACCTGTTCTACTATAGCCAAAAGAGCATTTTGCCATCCACAGATATAGATTTAAACAAATAGTACCAAATCAGATTAAAAGAGGCTTGTCTTCAGCAATGAAGCCAAGAGATTTTGAGTCAGGCTATTTCTATAAAGCAGACAAAGCAGCTCATCTGTTTGTATTATTCCTGCTGTTATTCCTAGCTCAAAGCACCTTCCTCCTACAAAGTGAAAAATTATGCTTGTCTGGGACAAATTAAGTTTTCATAGGAAAGGAAAGTGAGCGATAAGACAAACAAACAAGTCAGTTGTCTTCAATACAACTTGGTAATGCCTTGTACAAGTCTGAAATTCTTATTATCTAGTAACAATTCAATTTCAAGTGCCATAAAATAATTAATATTATTATAATGCAGTCTTTTACCTCTGGTTGGGCTGAGGGCAGTCTGAACCATATTCCTGAACATGCATACCAAAAAAGCACAAATCTACGCCATCAATCTCCTCAAAAGCAAAGAGAGCTTTTGTTCGATAAGGGAACTGTTCTGCCATCTCTCCACTATCTACAAACCTGCAAAATAAAAAGGCATAATATAAAGGAATTCCTTGGAGATAAATATGACATGCAAAAAGAACAACTTTAATCAAGTCAAATGCTGTAGAATTAACTCTACATCTTGCCATACAAATAACAATGAGATAAAGCCAATTGTTAGGCCCAACTAGAGTAAGTCAACACTTAATGACAAATAATTAGCAAATGTAACAAGTAAATGTAAGTATATCAAAGAAGTCAGGCAGACATCCCTTATCTGTATGTCCTTACTAGGAATGATTACAAGTCACTCCATATTGGTCTTATTATTCACATGCTTTTGGTATACCTTATTATTCACATGCCAGAGTAGACCTTTGGTCTAGATGGGTGGGTTAGATAGATAGATAGATAGATAGATAAAATAAATAAATAAATAAATAAATAAATAAATGCCTCTTTATAATCAAAACAATCAAAGTGAAAAGCAACTGAACAAGAGAAACAGTATTAACAGAAGATAAAGCACTGAACTAATTTCAGTTGTTTCAGCCTACTCATTTTTACTTGACCATAAAGTGGCATAAAGGATATCTATCCTACTTTTTTGATATGCTTACATTTACCCTCCCTCACTGCCTAATCATTCCCAGATTCCGGCTCTCCAAATGTACCCTATGTTCTTATGCCTACAGCACTCTGCACAAAAACCAATTAAGGAACAAGACTGGTCAACAAACTTGTGAATTTGGTAAATCATTCATATTATGCACATTCTGGACCAGTGGTTCTCAACCCTGGGTAACACAGATGTTCTTGGAGTGCAATTCCCAGAAGTCTTTACCACTAGCTGTGCTGGCTGGTGTTTCTAAGAGCCATAGTCCAAGAACTCCTGGGTTATCCAAGGATGGGAACCACTGTTCTAGATATTCCATCGCTAGTAAGTGTAAATGATGGTACAGTATACAAATGGGGTTGGATAATATATTAATTCTATCATATAAGAAAAAAACAGAAAAAAAGAGAAATAATTCCACAGAAGATATGCAATACTAAACATGAGAGCTCAATTTAAGCACATTGCGATAAGATATCTGACTATTGTAATGCACTTTCAAAAGCCATTGTTGAAATGGAATGTACTTTAAACTAAATTACTGAAAAGAGTTGGGTATATTGTATTTGCCAGGTAGTAGTGATGGCAATATGCTGGCACCACTCTTCTGAGTATGAAAAGGAACACATATGGAAGGAATAAAACTTTGTAGCACCAGATATAGCAATTTAAGTCTTGAAAATAATAAAAATACCTTGCTTTCATTCCTGGTTTAACCTCTACAGTTTTCTCAGAAGTATGAACCACCCTTACAATGACTTCGCCTGCCTCTGGGTGATTCTGTCGTCTCAGGAAATCATTCACTCTGTTCTCCAAAAACGTACCGAGTCTTGTAGTTGGTAACCCTACATTAAAAATAATAATAAAAATGAGTAACAACAACAACAATAATAATTGTAATGATCTATTAATAGAAATGTACCAGAACCAAAGTAGTTGAGGCAAGCATGCCTTTAACTCATAGCCCCTTCCATTAAAATTGGCACACATTTGCCCTTGATAATATGGTTGATGAATTTAGCAATTAAGGTATGAATCCTCAATGAACCTTTGGCTATCTCCAAACCAACATTCAATACAAGCCATTTCCTCATCATTATGTAAACATTTAACATGTTCCTCATGAAAAAATTTAACTGCCAAACATAACTGCCATCTAAGTGATGAAAAGTGAATTCTAGAAGTTTACAGCATAGTGATAGATACACTCCAGTCCTCTGTTGTTTCCAAAAATGGCTAGCTGTAAGCTTCTGCAAAACTCAACAGCTAGGGCACAATGGTCATAGCCATCTCATAATCCATATCCAGGATTGACTATTTATTTACCATGACAGCTAGACCAATAATGAACTGATTCATCACTTGGGGAAAAAGATTTTGGGGGCCAGTTCCCTGAAAACACAGTATGTAGCAGGTGGAAAAGGCAAATTCGGTATCAGAAATTATTAGGAAAGGAATAGAAAGAAAACAGCACATACTATAATGTACTATATTTTTTGCTCTATAAAACGCACTCCCCCCCAAAAAAGTGTGGGGGAATGTCTGTGTGTCTTATGGAGCAAAGCTGGCGATTTTGCCCCCACTGTCCCCGTGGGGGGTGGGGCGAGCCCCCCAAGGGTCTGAGTCTGCCTTCCAGGACCCTTGGGAGGCTCCCCCCCCACGGGGCCAACGGGGGTGAAATCGCCAGCATCTGGGACTCTTTTGAGGCTTGGGAAGCTTCAGAAGAGTCCCTGAAGGTGACGATTTCGCTCCCTCTGGCCCCGTGGGGGGGCAAGGTGAGCCTCCAAAGGGTCCTGGAACAGACCCTCGGACCCTTTGGAG